ATTATAGTGCTTATCTTCATGACTGAATTAAGTTTCATATAAACACATGTGTGCACCATTTACCATCAAAATTATCCTTGTCATATTGTGGACTACAAACCCCAGTAGCTTCAGCCAACATACGCAATGGCTGGGAGCTACAGTCCCACAACATCTGGGAGAACTTGCAATGGCCATCTCTGCATTAAAGAGAGAATAAATAAGTTGAAGTGGTCTTTCAGAGTTCTCAGATTCCACAATGAGTCCCTTGATGGAGAATAGCTCCAGAACATTGGTGTAGACTTTGGAGTTGACCTTGCAGCTTTTCATGGTTATGGACAAAATAGAGTCAAGCACGTAGATTTCTTATGGCTCTTTTGTTAAGCCCACTGCTTCTGATTCTGCTGATTCTGCCGTTTCCACATCCTGAGCACTTTTTTCTTGATCAACAGTAGGATCTGAGCTTGTGCAGCAACCCCAGAGAGAAAATTTGAAGACAATATAATTGTAACCACCTGGTTGAGAAATGGGCAAAAAAGAGGTTAGATGGTCATGCAGTACACTCTGGCCTTGTCTGCATGGGCCAAAAGAGCCACTTACACACACACACACACACACACACACACACACACACACACACATGTTTTTCTGACATTGTCCTATTTGGATGACACATGTCCCAAACCCTGGTTCTGGTGTGAGCAATCTGGATGACACATCTGGCACATTCTGTATCAGGACCAGGGATAGCTTTATGATGGATTTAGAAAATACTCTTGTTGCTCCAGACCTTCCAGGAAGATCTAGAGCCCTCCATTCCTGTGCTGTGGTGGCTGTCTGCATGGGTATCCTGCTGAGCTGTCTAGCTTGTCCACTACTGGCAAGGGTTGCTCCTTTTTAGGTCAGAACAAGGACCATACCTTGTGATTATTGCTGGGTGCCTCATTATGAATGCAAAGGTAATGGCAGGAGATAGAGCAGGGGTAGGCAACTTTAGGCCTGGGGGTCGGATGCAGCTCCCCGAGGCCTTTGGACTGGCCCCAGGCTGGTCCTGCTGCCGCCGCCCCCCCCCCACCACCACCGCTGCCCGCCATGATCATATTGATTATTGTTATTACTTGTTCTTGGGGTTTTCTTGGCAAAATCTCTTGTTGCTCCAGACAGGGGTTTTACCATGGCTTTTCTGGGGCTGAGAGAGTGTGCATGCATTTTTTATTTTTATTTTTATTTTTTTTTTATTTTAATATTTATTTATTTATTTATTTATTTTTGGTGCTTCGGACCCCCCAATTGTCTGAGGGACAGCAACCCGGCCCCCGGCTCAAAAAGGTTGCCTACCCCTGAGATAGAGGCATCCACAGGTCCAGGATACTCCAGGCTGACCTCAGAGTATCCTAGCCAGTGCAGAAAGGGGCTCTGGAACTTTGTCTACAAGGACCAATAGGCAAAGTTTTTTGTGGGTTTTTCGGGCTGTGTGGCCATGTTCTAGAAGAGTTTCTTTCTGACGTTTCGCCACCAATAGGAAAGCTCCTCATGACAGTCCCCAAGCTTTATTTCCCAAAAGATGCATAGTTCATATTGTTGTAACATGCCTTCCTTTCCTCTCTCCCCTACTGCCCTCCCTATCTTCCTCCCCTTCCCCCTCCCACTGATCATGTGGCACATCCTTTCTCATGCAATATTTCAAAAATTGATTTTCACCCATTTCTACTGAGGCTTTTTAAAAAAGAAATTCAGGACTTACGGTCAAAATGATAAAATGCTGTAGCAATAACTTACTAGTCAAGTCTTAGGATCATTTTGTTTTGGTGCTAACAATCCTCTTTCCCTCATATGAACACTGTTGAATCTATCCTGGAAACAACAAGTGTATTTACTTGGACTGCATCCACACTACAGACATAATCCAGTTTGACACCGCTTTAACTGCCATGGCGCCATGCTATGGAATTCTGGGATTTGTACTTTGTTGTAGCCGTGGCAGTTAAAGTGGTGTCAAAGTGGATTATTTCTGCAGTGCAGATGCAGTCTTGGTGGTGGTCATCTTTACTGGCTCCCAAGAGAATACAAACATACAGGTAAATACAGATACATTTCATTTTGGAATGAAATGGGTTAATTTATCAATCGGGAGAGTGGGAATGAGAACTCCTTGGTAATTCTGGAAGATCCCAGAATGTACTTCAGGAGTAAGAAAATGTCACAAGGATCTCCAAAATAAAATCAGTTTGTACAAGAACAAAAACCAGGAGTTCCAGAAACTTTTTTTTTTTTTTTTTTTGGTCATCAGAAGGTGCACTTACTCTTGGCTTCTCTTTCAACAGACCCCAGATATGCCACTGAAGGCAGCTGCCTCTGCCTAATGAGAGGGCTGGCCATGACCAACAGATAAAGACAGATTTCATAAACAGAACGGTCATCCTTTCTTAACTGAGTCCATCCATTCATACGCACCTGCCACAAAAAACAGGACGCAAGTAGCATAAGTGAGGTAAGCGGCCCATCTCCTGGTGTTCTTGTCTGCAGCCGCTTCCTTTTCATGAATGTAGATTTCAAAGAGGATGAGAGAAAGCAATGCACAAATTCCTACAAGACACAATGGAGAGAGTTGAGTGTCTGCCTGGATGTTTTAACCATAGTGCATTGGGTTTAATCTGCCTTGAGTTCTGCTTTTGAGGAATAGGCAATGTTATGACTACAACCACAACAACTAATGTTACATTTAAAAAACAGAGTTTTTGTGTTCTAATGGGGAAAAAAGATTCCCAGGCATTGTGCAGCTCAGGAATAGGCAATGGTTTGATTGCAGTTCCTTCATTTTATTTTCTTTACAAAATTCACAAATGTCTTCCTAATGGGGATGGAAAACAACTGACATTTACAAAACCCGAATGGGGAAGAGAAAACAAAGCTGACAGAGAGAAAATGAAGATTGCTGAGGTATAAGGCACAAAGTGGAGAAGAGGGACAGGCAGCAGGATCCCCAAACCAGTCTTTTTGGCCCCTAAGAGTCCCTATGCATCCCACCCCAAGACTGGGAGTTGGAATATATTTTCCCCAAATGCTCAATAGTGCCCCAAACATTTTTGGAGCAGGTTCTACTGGAGCAGGTTCTATCATGCTGCCGTGTTTGGGGTTACTTTTGTTTTAAAAAAAGGTCTTTCTTGAGTCTGCTGTTGTTACTGTTGGGTACCTGCCAGTTCACTCTGACCTATGGTGACACCATCATAGGATTTATTTAGCAAGATTTGTTCAGAGGAGTTTTTGCATTGACTTCCTCTAAGGCTGAGAATGTGGGCCCTGTCTATCGTCATCCAGGCCCTATCTGTACAAGCCAAATAAAATGGCCTCCCATGTTCTCTGGGCAGCAAAACTGGATGATTCATAGCCTAAACCCCAGTTCTGATGTAAACAGACTGGACAACATTTACAGTCTTACAGGGTATACCCCTCTTTCTTCAGCCAACATTCAAGTGTGGAATGACCTGCTGGAAGAGGTTTCTTCTTTGCTCCTGCCTTTGTCTCTCAATGACTATAGTCAAAACTCATCACCATACCAACAAGTTTTGCAATCCTATGGCTGTTCATACAGTCCAATTATAAAGGTCTTTCCTGGGCATTAGTTCACTGCATGAATCTGAGAAAGTAGACCAAGTCTACAAAAGCTTATGCTACAACTTCTTTCACATATTTTTCTCAAAGACGCTACAAGAGCCCTTTGCATACTGACACATCTATCTAATGTTTGTCTATGTCTTTTCCCCCCTTTTTTCTTCTGGTTTTTGTGGAGATTGGTATTCTCTTTTACCTCTGAAATTACCCAAGCCTCTACTGAATTTACTGTTTAGCCACTGCAACCTTCCTCTCATGGCTATTTTGTGGCTGGGTCAGAGTGGGGAGTTAGTTATGTCCCTGTAGAATAACCCATTGAATCAACTGGGTTTACCTATAAGTTGACTCACCTTCAATAATTGATTTAAAAGATTCAAGTCCCTCTTTGTCTGTTAAGATATTTTAGGGCAGCTCTGCTCAGAATTTCACTTTTATCTCAAGTACATTTTGTGAGTATGCAGAACAGAGTCTTCTCAGTCATGTTGCCTAGTCTATGGTACACCCCATTTCAAGAATCTTATCTAACTCCTTCTCTCCCATGCTTTAGGGTGTATTTCAGTTTGTCATTTATGCTGTCTGGTCTTTAAAGTTTTGTTTTATGATAGTGCTGGGGTCACATTCTAATTGTTCTAAGATATATATATATATATATATATATATATATATATATATATATAGTAATTGCTTTAGCATGTTTGTGAACTACTTAGGAAGAGCACACCAGACCAAAATGCTTATATAAATGAATCCTAACCTAAACCTTGTTTTTCTCTTTTTCCTCAGTGGTCACTGTACCATGAGTGAAACAGATATAAAGATTTGTGCAGATTTGTGTAGAATATTTTTGGTGATACCTGCAAAGGTGCTGAGGATGGCAGTCACTAATGGATTTAGAAGAAAGGGAAACTTGAAAGTGGTGAAAATCATGTCCCATGGCACTGTCGATGCCAGAGCGATGGTGGATAGCAGAAATGCAAATATCATGAAGGTTCGGGTGAAACTCAGGAACACTAAAAGGAAAAGCAAAGGAAACGAAAACAATGATCAAAGTTACCAAGATTAACTCCCACTGCAAAAACTCAGTCAGCTAGTTTATCGTCTTATGGTTTATCAGTTTATCTTCTCATGGAAATAATGATATTTCTATATTCATGAAAATATTTAGCTGCCTTGATTGCGTTAAGTACTAGGCTATTACAGAAAAATCCTAAATCCCCCAGTTAAAACAGAAGTGGGCCAAGGTGGGCTAAAGGTGGCCTGCAGCCCTTGAACCCCACATTTATGAAAATTGCACTTCCTTATCAGTCCCTCTAAAGCCTCCCAATGTCCCCTCTTTTTTTTACACCAACACCCAAACCACTACATCACACCAGCTCTCATGTATACATATAGGTAAAGGTATATGTAGAGCCAGTGTGACATAGTGGTTTTAGTGTTGGACTACAAGTCTAGAGACTAACGTTCAATTCCCCGCTCTGCCATGAAGCCTACCTTGGGTAAGTCACAGTCTCTCAGTTTCAGAGGAAGACAATGGCAAACCTCCTCTGAACAAATCTTGCTAAGAAAACTACATGATAGGTTCATCACCATAAGTTGGAAATAATGTGAAGGCACACAACAACAACAATATGTATATCTCCTGGTGGCTTCTGTGTCACTACAGCAAATACACTCTAGGTTTTATTCTAGACTTTCAAAGAGATATTCAGGATGCTGAAACTTATCTCCCCTGGGACCTTCAATACCTCGGATAGCGTCTTTCCAGTTTGGATTAAAAACCAAGATGGTTTCACTGTACTGTTGACATGGAAACCTCTGGCCACTGCTGACTATATGTACATTAGCACACTCACACCCACTTCTTTTTTTAAAAAAAAACAGTAGTAGTATTTTTGGTCATTTTTAAATCCCCAAACCATGCAAATATGTGAAAATATACACAAAAACACTCAACTTCACTAGTCCTATCCTACTCACACATGCTTCCATTTTTCTCTGCAGTCCATCTCCAAATGGAATCAGGAAGTAGAGGGGTATGACCCCATTTTATTTTATTCACTTCTTGTCACCATTTTTATTTTATGTTTTTAAAATTTAATCTGGTGACAGGAAGTAACATGCCATCACTTTCCATTGCCCCTTTGAAAGGAACTGTAGAAGGAAATGGAAGTGTTTCGGCTTGCTTGGGTGAGGGGGGGGGTGGCTATGTGAGTGGGTATGGGGGAGAAATGGCAAGAAAACAATTGTAATAAACATAATAATAAATGTATTATGTTGTTTTTCCATGTATTTCAGGAGTTGAGAACCTTTTTGGCACTGGAGGATATGTCTGGTGTTGACATATCTAGGGAAACATGATACCTAGTCCTGGCCAAAGTAGACCCATTGAATCAATTGTTGACTGGTTAGTCAACCCATAGGTAAATCCAATTGATTTAATGGCTCTACTATTTATTTATTTATTTATTTAATTTCTATGCCTCCTTTCTCTCAAGGTGAGTAGTTCTGAATTTAGGACTTGATTGCAAACTGAAAACTTGGATCACAATCTGGAAATGCAGCAGCATTTGTTTTGAATGGGTCACGTGTATCTAAGCCATAATGGGAATTTTACAGAACATGGATGCCAATGTGGCACCTGGTGTACTCCCAGACAAGGGGAATTGTGCCTCAGAATTCCCTCCTCCCCTGATTTAAGATGCCAGTTTTCCCAATATTTATCACAGAATTGGTAGCTATGAACAGACTTGCTGCTTTATATGCCATTTACAAACAATGCTATTACCTGTGAACTCCATTATTTAACATGGCCAATTGCATGGGTCCAGATTTTAGAAGTAAGGTAGGAATAATTCCTAAGTGATTCCTTTTCTCAGTTACTTTTTGTGTAGGCGCATCAGTGCTATGCAGTGAAATCCATTCTCAAGTCTAATCTGTACTGCAGAAATAATGCAGTTTGAGACTGCTTTAACTGTCACAGCTCCATCCTATGGAATCCTGGGGTTTGTACTGTGTTGTGGCACCAGAGATCTCTGACAGAGAAGGCTAAATATTTCACAGAACTATGAATCCCTGAATTCCATAGTATTGAGCCATGGCAGTTAAAGCGGTGTCAAACTGCATTGATTCTGCAGTGCAGATTAGACCCCTGTTTTAAAAGAACATTGGGAAGTTACCTGATTTGATCATGTGCTGCCACTCACTGGGGCAGCAACACATACGAACCTGTTTCCATAAATCTTTACCTATTCTGCAACAAACTGACTTTCATTTCCTCCCTCTTCCCTCCCCCTTCCTTTTGTAAAAAGTAATACTTCCCAACATGCAGTCATTAATTGCAAAGTGTACTATCATTTGATAATGAAAACCACAAAACCAGCTTCCATTCTGTCTCCTGTAACATACCATCGAAGGTTGCCAAAATGTAGCATCCAAATTTATTGGAACAGGACGTCCAAAGGCCAATAAGGAGGAAATCTAAATTAGAATAATAGGCAGTCCAGCTGGGAGACAGGAGAGCAATCAGGATCAATAAAAAATTAACGAATGCAAGGGTAATACTTAAGATCCTATACAGAATCATTGAGCCAGATTAAGAGATTGGCTTCTTCTCTTGTATGCTCTTTACAGCCAGTTCTGGGAGTGTGCACAATCATGTGAGCACCTTCTCAGGAGCCTTAACAGTGACCCAAGAAGGTATAGGGGAACAGCAGGAAAGATTTGGAGCAGAAGGGCTTCTGGAGCACTAAGTATATCCTGCTCTGGTTGAAGTGTGGCAGTTTCATGAGTCCTCATACTCTGGAGCCTGGGACTCCAACTGTCATGGAACTTTTGTTCTGCTCCTGGAACTGAGACACATGGAACAGGCATTCAGGGCTGGATAAAGATGCCAGGCCATTGCTTATTGCTTGCGAACTGATAGAGCCATATATATATATATATATATATATATATATATATATATATATATATATAAAAGGAAGGATGGGAATGAACTCAGTTACTCAGTGGTTATGTCAAGCCCCATACAACTCAGGTCCAGGCTATCTGAAAAGCTGCATTTTTCCACAAGACCCTGCCTGAGCATTAAGATCCTCAGGGCAGGCACTTCTTTCTATCACACCACCTTCATAAACCAGTGTGATGGGCAAGTAGGACAGGGCCTTCTTTGTGACTGCTCCCAGACCTTAGAACTAACTATCTAGAGAACTTAGGATAGCTCTTTCTTTACTGTCTTTCTATTCCAGCAAGTCTTTTGGAACTGATGGTTAAGGTTTGTTGTTGTTTTTTAATGGTGCATTACATTCTTTAATCTTTGTTTTAAAGTAAAGTTTCAAATGGTTTTAATCTCGGCATTTATATATTGTTAACTATATGGCTTTTATGGCAATTTTCTGCCTTGAGTCCTGACCTGGAAGCCTTTGTGCTTGGACTCTTGGTGAGTCAACATATAGGCAAATACTTTTGATATAATGGTTATATCTCAGTTAGGACTAACAACAGAATTTCAGGCCTACAATTATCAGTGTACCCAGTTTATTATACTAGCCAATAGTAGACGGATGTACTCATATCAATGTGTGGTGAATATATTCCAGGTTTTACTTGAAATTTGAAAGGACCTATCCAAAGTTCTGAACTTTTTCTTAGAGTGCATTGTTATGCATTTAGCTTCTCCCATTTTCACACAGAGCAGAGAGGCTACAAGTTCTTTAGTAAACACCACTTTTCTGTTTTACACTTTCCTTCAGTTTCCCATTTGTGAGCTACGATGGAGGCAAAGTTACTCCTTAGTTACAAGATTCAATGGAGGGGAAAATAGTTCCCTGTGTAAATGTAGAGCAATTCTCACCAGCATTTGAACAAACAGGCATACAATTTGAATATTCATTCAGTGTAATGCATGAATACACTTTAATTGTATGAGAACACCGATCTGCTATCTGCAAGTTTTGTGTCGATCACTATACAAGCATATATCCATTAATGAAGTAGATGTGTTCCTGGACATTACTTCTCTAACAAAAAAAATTGCTACCAGAGGCAGAAATAATATGGAAAGAATAGAAATAGGTTTCTGCGCCACATAAAAGAAGAAGAAGGAGGAGGAGGAGGGGGGGGGAAGAGGAAGAAAGGAAGAAAGGAAAGAGAACATTTCTTCTTTTGGTGAAACGCCAACATTTTTCAACAAACATCTTATCCAAATCTAGCAAGATGCATGTCTGAATAAAACAAGCAGGTCAGCTAAGCCTAGTGTGAGTAAGCAAAAACATTTTGAACCTTCTACAGACCACTTGAAAGTCCTTCCCAAAATACAGCCAGGGATTCCCCACCACCACCACTAGCTTCTACTTTTCTTGTGATTTCCATTTTTGTGGCCAGAGTTCTAGATCTGAGCTCTTTTTAACATGCTGAGGGGTACTTGGTGAGACAGGCTTATTTGTCCTCCCTTTTTCTCTTTGTTTTATTGTTCACTTCTGTTCAGTAATTCTGGAGACAGCTGCTGTTTACCTTGTATGTTGTAGGCAGGAATGCACAGCTACTGTAGGATAAACTAGAGTAGAATAACATTCTTTCCCAGCTCAAGCTTTATTGCCTTAGTTTTTTTTTTTGTGGTTTTTTTTTTTTTCGGGCTGTGTGGCCATGTTTTAGAAGAGTTTCTTTCTGATGTTTCGCCAGCATCTGTGGCTGGCATCTTCAGAGAAAAAACCTATGACTTCACTTTATTGCCTTGTTTGTTGCTGCAACTTGACACCAGAACTTTGTGTTCTCCAGCCCTCCTTCACTTCCCAGTGCTCATGCTTCAAAGGATAGCCAGATAAAGGAGAAGAAGAAAAATCTGGGGGCTGGGTGGAGATAAAACAACTTTGTAAAAAAGGCGCTTCTTTGTCAGATGCTTTGTTAGTTGAGACATGGCTATGCTTTGATTGGGAGTTCCTGCATGGCAGGGGGTTGGACTGGATGGCCCTTGTGGTCTCTTCCAACTCTATGATTCTATGATTCTATGTACACAGAGGGCACTTGTGCTGAATGCAGTGTATGAGCACCTGTATAATGTAGGGTGAAACAGAAGGAGATCATCTCCTTCAGCAGCACAGGTGGACTTGTAAATGAACTCAGGACCAATGTGATGGTTCTGAGTGTATTCTGGATAGAAGGATTCTAAGGAAAATGGCATTCCTTTTTTTTCTATTCTTTTTTTTTTTAAGAGAGAGATGGGAACATGTAGCCTTCCTGATGTGGTCAGATCACAGCTAACATAATTATTCACCATTGATTCTACTGGTTGGGGCTAATGGGAACTGGAGTCCAAAAATACCCAGCATGACAAAGTTTTCACCATTTTATTTATTCATTTATTTATTTACTTCCAAGAATGTACAATGTTACCTTGAGGATTAAATTCATAGACTCTTTGTATCCCAGCTGCTAGAGTGAAGGTCCACTATGGAGGGTGAAAATTTTATCTGATTGGCCCTAA